GTCTTGGGAAAGCAAACTTTTGTGCAAAAGGGTGCTAGGCACATGTGTTGCTTTTCCTTAATTCATGCTGATAAATCCAGCTTAGGCGCTACTAAACCTGCTAACCATCCTACTTTGTGGCTTGAACCATGCTTGTTTAAGCTTACTTCAAGAGTAAGTCAGCGTCTAGCGTATGACATTGGTGCCACTTGACCTCTCCAAACTACAAAACCTTTGCCTATAAATTGAACTTCATTGGCCATTGAAAAGAGGTGGAAAAATTTGAGAAAGAAAAGTCTTGAACCCCCGCAAAAATTCCAAGAGTCCAAAAAACTGTAAACACAAAAATACAAAACCTTTTAGCTTTTGATTCTTGCCTTCAAACTCCATTTTTTTCCAAGTGTCTCTTGACCAAAACCACCCATACAGTTTCTGACATACATTCAAAAGCCATCCTAACTTCTGTAGCAAAACTGTAATACCCTCTCCATCAATATCCACCTCAAAAAGTCAGAACTTCACCCCTTGGTTGTTCCAGAATTTTCTAATCATTTACAGCCCAAGTTGAAAGTTTCCAGCCTACTGAACACGTGAGGAAGTTGTTTAGAACATCACAAGCGGTCAGAACTAGGTTCCAACTCACTGAGTATTTTCCAAGTGCAAGGTAAGCTTCTGCTGACTCTCATCATATTACTTAGGCACTGTCAGATTTACACATTTAAAAATACAATGTAGACATTCTGATTCTGATGATGTACATATTCTGAGATTTCATGCATATGCTTGCCTAAGTAGAGAGAATTCTAGTTCAGAGCTTCTTGAAGAAATTAGAACTCAGAGTTAGGATTAACAAACTCATGCTTGCTTCTGATTTATAATTCTGATATCTCTTGTTTCTGAAGCATTATGAAACCTGCCATAAACTGTTATATGTGTATCTTCTGTTTTATGGAGAAATGACTAAGTTGTAGATGTTCTGACTAGCATGGAGAAAAGAGGCAAAGTTTTGCCAGTAGCATCAAAACTTTTGAAAACTTCTATGCTCTCAACAAATCCAGAACTTCTTACCTTCCCTATTTTTATTAACGTTTGTTTTTGTTTGTGCAGCACGTCAGAGTCATAACTTATGACCTCTTCTATTTCAGCATTTACGCTGATTCTGTCTTCTTTTCTTTTATTATTTTTTACCATCACTTTTATTTTTCATTAATCAAAAAACACCAAAAATATTTCATATTCACATTTTATATTTTATTCCCTTAAAAAAAGACCAAAAAATATTTTCTTAAACAAAACTTATTTTTTTTCTTAAATAAAATAAGCATTTTATATTTCTTGTACATTCTTATCCATTCAATGTGGATGTAATAGTAACTTAGGATTTAATTTGCAATCCCCATTTGAAAATTTGTACACCCGATCCCCCTAATGATTGTAATAGCGTAGGCCTTTACTTTTTAGCATTTTTCATTGCTTTCATATATTGTTAGTAATTAGGATGTGTATGATAAAGATAAAAACAACAAATAAACAACCCATAATCAAGACAAAAACAAAGCATGAAATCAACACACTTGCACACAAGCACCCCTAGGGTTATTCCACTTGTTGCCTTACAAAAATGGCCATGTTATGCATTTGGGATGTCTTAGCACAAACAAATCAAAAATATAAGATCATAGTCCCTCAATGACGCTATCAAAGTTGCCTTTCGAAATTATCTTAGTCCCTAAAGAAAAATACTAAGTCATCTCACAATATTGCTATCATGGTTATACGATGACCCACACCTGTCCCTTCACATTCAACGATGGGGCTTCTTACCAAAATAACGGTAAGATAACAATGTCTAAAGGATGAGGAAAATAACACCTAAGACCTTTTTGAGTAAGTAGATTGCTTTTAGTTACTTGTTCCATTTCAAAACAAATATCCTTGCTATTTTTAAAATAAACACACACATTTCCAAACATCTTTCAAACTTGAAACCATTTTCAGAAGATCAACACCTTTGTATACATTCTCACGAACGAGAATCATTACAAAAGTTTGCCTAAATGATTACGCCTTTTCAAAATACTTTCAAAAACCTCACAAAGCACATTTTTCAAACAAAAGCAAGTGATCTAGCGAGTAACTAAGAGCCCATGGAAAACCATGGATGAAAAGGGTGCTAACACCTTCCCTTTTCATAATCTACCCCCCGAACTCAAGAAAACATCTCTAAAGGTCTTTTCTGTGCTTTTTCATCTTTCCTTTTGGATAAAAGAAAAGTCGGTGGCGACTATTACTAAACCACAACATTTGCGATAAAATGTAAAACCCTCCAAGTCAGTTCTCCCACCGCATCACACCCCACCCACCACCATCACGACCAAACTTTTAGGGTATGGGTAACCAACTGTACCAAAGCATATCTTCTAGATATGGAGATCTGACCTATTTCATAGATCTGGAACGCATTGACTTCGCTGGACCGTCGACCCTGCCACAACAGGAAACACGACAAAACCTAGCACGGGAAAGACGAGGACGAGGATGTGGAACTGGGGGTCATTACTGGGTTTCGGGGGATCACTGATTAATTTGTATTTTTTATGTAATCGTTTTGTGTAATCATATTGTATAAATAAAAAGTCAATTTTCGTGATCCTATATCGTTTATGTAACGTACCGCATTTAAAATAAAAAACGCAAAAAATTACCTCCCAATTGCACTAAGGTGCCATCTCACTTGGCTTAGGGCAAGCCTTTCACACCTAGGCTCCAAGTGAGATGGCTCCTCCCTTGTGGAGTTTTCAGAAACATGGTTATTTGCGTAATTTTCTCCGAAACATGGTTATTTGCGAATTTTTTTTAATACCTGATTATTACAAAAAAAATTGTTTTTTTGTCCATTTAATATTACTATTTTATTTTCTTAATTAATTATTAATATTTTTAATTATGATTCTATTTTAAAATAATCAATTAAAATTTTAAATGAATCATAATGAGCCCAACTTTTTGGCCCATATTATTATAGTAAACTTTAGTTCAGTAGTTAATGCTTGAGTTAGCTTTAAAAACACTATAAATGTTTATCAACAAAACGATGTGGAACTCAACATTGAAATAAAGAAACACATATTCACCAACTGCAAGATTGAAGTAAAGATCAACGATATTTTAAAAACTCGTGTAACACTGGAGAACAAAATAATAGCAACAATGAAAGATAGTTGCAATATCCAATAAACTAGAAGATTAAGATAAAAGACATGTATATTGGATTTCCAATGCTTCCATGTCCAGATTTTCCAGTGCTTCAATATCCAGATTTTTCGCCCCTCTTGAATTTTTCCATGCATATTGTTACCATATTATTCCTTCTGAGTTGTTGTTACTATCAGCTATAAGAAGAAAATATCTCTTTCTTTAAATGAAATTATACAATTATATGATAAAGAAAACACATTTTAGGATGCATTGCACGATATATATACGGCAGAAAACATTATGACTCCACTTAAGTAAATGAATTGTATTACACAAATTCATCTCATACAATAGTATTCCACAACAACAACGTCTAATTAAGCTATTATACAAGAATATAATTAACATGAACAAACCATATTATAAAGAGGAGAAAAAACATTTTAAGTTAATTAATAGTGAATTGTCCAACCATACCAGCTCCTTGGTGAGGTGAGCAGTAGAATTTGTAGGTACCCTTAGCATCAAACTTAACACTGTAAGTCTCACCATGCGCATTAAGAAGATCTTCTTCAGGCATGGAAATTTTAACTGCATCAACCCTAATTAGAATCTCGTCTTCATCAAAGACAACATTGTGAGGAAAACCAACATTGTTCTTGAATACAATGGTGTCTCCAACAGTCACTTCGAAACTGCTTCAAACAAAAGCCAAACCCCTATCTCTAGCACCAATCAAGACTTCAACAACCAATGCATTGCTACCTAACACTACACTTACAGCAGTGGCAACAAGAGCAACTCCAAAGTGTTTGAGTGAGCTCTGAGACAAAGCCTTGGCGATTGGAAATCTAGTCTTTGAGTGAAGCTTTGACACAAAGTCTTTGAGTGGAGCTTGAATGGAAAGCTTCAAAATTGAGGTTAAGGCAAAATAATGGTGAAAATCTAGTTTGAGATCATACAAGAAAAATTCTGACTTAATTTGAGAAATATAGTGGGTTAAATAAAAATAGAAGTCCCACATTGTTTTTTCAATAAAAAATAGAAGTCCCACATTGTTTATATTATAGTTTATAATTGTGGGCAAGAGAATTGTTTTTAAAGGTATGGACTTAGGGCTTAGTTTAAAATCCAAAAATATTCATTTAAAATTTTTAATTAATTAATTTTAAAATAAAAACAGAATTAAAAATATTAATAATTAATTATGAAAATAAAATATTTAATATTAAATAGACAAAAAAAAATCATATGAAAATAAATTTGTGTAAAGAGAAAATGACACATTTGCAAAAATAGTACCATGTCATAAAAAAAAATACTTTGAGGGAACTAAACTCAAGAAAAAATTTAAAAAATAATTAAAATAATAATTTTTAAAGTAAGAAATTAAAAAAAAAAGAACTAAAATTATAATTAAATTAATTATTTAAGTGACATGATTATTGAACGAGGGACTAAATTCAAGAAAAATTTAAAAAAATAATTAAAATAATGATTTTTAAAGTAAGAGATTAAAATAAAAAAAATTAAATAAAGGAACTAAAATTGTAATTAAATCAATTATTTAAGTGACATGATTATTGAACGACGGTTTAAAGTTATTTTACGCCATATCTATTAAATTCTATTTTTTTTAAAAACATTCGTAAAAATTAATTAAATTTGATAGTTTTACTTTTTGATTATTAAAAAACAGTATAGTAATTTCATTATAGTTGTAGGGATTGGGGCTTGGGGTGGAATAGGTAAAATAGGTGAAATTGTGTCGCATATCGTACGGCTAATAGTCTCAACTAAATCTTTGCCGTCAGATCCATTAAAAAACACAAAATCAGTCTCAAATAGGTGAGAGCGCCATTCTATTTGTAAAGGGAGGCGAGATAAAAAGAAAGCCTAGTCTCGCTCTCCCTACTCCCAAACCCAAACGCCGTCTTCTCTTCTATCTCAGTTTCCGCAACAACAACCGAAACGCTCTCTCGTCAATCTTCTCTCTGCTAGGGTTTTGGTTTTTCTCTACTTTCCTCGGCGATTCTTCATTATTCTCACTTGCTTCGACGGTATTTTCAACAAAGGGCTTCGATTTTCGTTCGCACATTCTGTTGCTAACTGGTAATTTTTGTACTGGATTTTTTTTTTGAAACTACATCACTTTATATTATCGCTAGTAGTAGTATTAGTGTTTTTTTTTTTTTTTTGGTTCAGGAGATTAGGTTTTAGTGGGGGAAAAGCGGGATAGGTAAAGTTTTAATTCATTACTGCTGCTGAATTTAGAGATTGGGAGTTGAAGCTTTTGTTTCATTGTGGAGTGCGGTGATAATGGCCAAGAGTAGGCTTTCTGGAGGATATTGTGGTAATGCAGTTGAAACAGGTTGTGTATCGGATGGATCAGGTACATCAGGAAGAATGGATACTGATAATACCGTTTCAGAGGAGGACAATCGGATTTCACGAAGGAAATGTATTGGTTTTGATTCAGGTCTCCGTGGTGAATTTGGAGTTCCCATTCAAGTTGTTCCTTTGTCTAAATTGTCAGCCCTTCAAAGAAAAGATCTTGCCAATCGGTTTAGGTCTGATCTTGAACAGGTTCGGCTTTTTCAAAACAAGTTTGAAATGCAAAAGAGAAATGGTGTTAGAGATAATATTATGAATCGCAACAATGGCCAAAATGGACCTCAAAAAGAGAACTCGAGAAAACCATCAATATCTGGTTCAGTACCGGGGAATGCCTTGAAACCGTTAATGGAGAACTCGAGAAAACCATCAATATCTAGTTCAGCTCCAGGGAATGCATTGAAACCATTAATGGAGACCTCGAGGAAACCATCAAAATCAGGTTCAGTATCTGTGAATAATTTGAAACCATTGGATCAGAGTCAGAAGCCTCGTGGATGGAGTCGGGGCTCTTCTGGAAAGTTTGAGACTCCGGCACGAACTTCCTTGCCAGGAACTGCAAATGCAGTGTTGATGAAAGATTGCGAGTTACTGTTGAAACGGTTGATGACTCACCAACATGGTTGGGTTTTTAACGCCCCTGTGGATGTGGTTAAGTTGAACCTTCCTGATTATTTCGATGTCATTAAGCATCCTATGGATTTGGGAACAGTACAAAGCAAGATTGCTACAGGATCATACACAGGCCCATTGGAATTTGCTGCAGATGTGAGACTTACATTTTCAAATGCAATGAAGTATAATCCACGTGGGAATGATGTTCATATCATGGCCGATGCCCTTAATAAATATTTCGAACTGAGATGGAAATCAATCCATAAGAAAATTCCTAGAATAGAGTCTCTACCATTGCCCATGAAGAGAGAAATTTTTGAAGATGTAAAAACTACCAGACCAGCACATCCTTCTAAAAAGAGGAAAATTGCTTCATTGCCTGCTCAACCTGAAACTGTCCCACTTCCACCTGCTCAACCCGAAGTTATCTCATCCGTTCAACCAGAAATTATCCCACATGCTACTAAACAAGTTATGTCGGATAAAGAGAAACAAAATATTGGTAGAGAATTGGAGTCTCTTCAAGGTGAAATACCTGCCCATATCGTTGATTTTTTGAAAGAACACAGTTCAAATGGTAAAGAATGTGATGACGATGAGATTGAGATTGATATTGATTCTCTCAATAATGATACACTGTTCAAATTACGAAAGCTTTTGGATGACTCTTTACTGGAGAAGCAAAAAAACAAAGTAAAAGTTGAAGTGTGTGAAATAGAGGTGCCTCTCTGCTAACTAATACTTCTATGAATTAAGCTAGCATCACATTTTGTCTAAAATGTATTCATCCTCTTTGTAATGAAATGTTAGTCTCACAATATGTATGACACAATATCTGGTTGCTTATGTTTGCTGTTGCAGCTTTTTAATGATTCTGGACCAAGCAATTCATCATTGCAAGCATTTAAAGGTTATATTTGTGTTTTTTATATCAGTGTGTGAACATGTGTGTATTCTTTGTTTTCTGTTTAAACTTGTTTTGCTTGTAGGTGATGATCTGGCTGATGAAGAGGTGGACATTTGTGGAATTGATTCCCCAGTCTCGAGCCACCCTCCTGTAGTGATTGAAAAGGATACAACCTACCAGACGAGCAAATGTTCAAGTTCAGGGAATAGCGGTAAGTGAGGTTTGAATTAATTTTTGATGCTTTTGACTACTACTTTAGTAGTTTTGTGATAACTTTTGTAGGATGTGAAAATCTGATCACATGATTTGTGAAAAATATCTTATTTAAATTTGTATTATATTTGCATGCTTTATTTTTATTTTACATTTTTTATTACTTTCCTACATAAGAGAAACTATTAAGAAAGATCTTGAGGTTAAGGAATTAGATAGAACATTATGGTATTGGATAGAACATTATGGCCAAATTTGATCCATGTAGCCGATCCATTTAGTGGGATAAGGGTTGGTTGTCGTTGTACTAATCTCCTACGTCTTACTTTAGCTACTGGTTCCCCCCTCTTTTCTTTGTGCTATGCATATCACGCTCATTGATTTTCTTAGAATTAAAATGTGTTTTTCATAAGAGTTCATGCTTTTTATATCATATATCTATTTGTTTGAATTTTGTTAAAACTTTTTCTTGAACAAAATTTGCAAGTGCAAAGGCATCATTATGGATTATTGACATCTCAACTATGTTTGCACCTTAGCAACCCAACAATCATCTATATACATGTATTAAAAAAGAGGAAAATAAAGAATGTCAGGGGGATATAAACCAAACATCGGAACAAAGTTTGTGGAACCTATAGTTTTCTAAAACTTTACATTGGGGATTGAACGGGACAGTTACTTTTATAATTCAAAAGTCAAAAATCTTAATCATTTTTCAAGATAGTGTGCATATGACAAACAAATGGATTTCATTACAAAATTATGGTGCCTTCGTTCTTGGTGACTGCTATAGCATGCACAATGTGTCAGTCTTTCATAGTTACTTTGGTCACTTTTGTCAAATAGCGGCTATTGTGTGCAGATTTCGAGGAATAACACTTGTTATTCTAGTTTTTACCGGAACAACCGTAACGACAATATCAGTTAAATAGACAGTTTTAGTTTTTTTAAATAATAAAACTGAAGCGGTAGCATGTGAGCTGGACATGGCCTATTTTTAAAATAGAAAAGGGAAGAATCAATGCATTATTATTTATTACTCACTTAACCTTATTATTTAGATTACTTCCTTTTCCTTCTCTTCTCATATCAAATTTCTTTCTTCTCCTGTTCTATTTTTTTTTGGCTCCTCTCATCCCTCTCTTCTGTTTTTTATCTACAGTTTATTTCCATTCCCTTTTCTTTCCTTATTCAATTTCTTTCTTCTCCTTCTATTGTTTTTTAGGTTCCTTTCATCTCTCTTTCCCCGTTTTTTTTTGTTCAGTTTATTTCCCTCCCTTTCTCTTCCCCTATTCGATTTATTTCTTCTATTTTTGTTTATGTATTTTTTCATTTTCTTCCCCTTTCTATTCCCTTTCTCTATTTTTTTTTTCAATTTCCCCCCATCCTTCTCTTCCATTTTGTTTTCTGTAATGACTAATCTCGGAAAAAATTTATATGAATAAAACAAATCTTGGAAAAAAATATAATTTGACAAATTTTTTAGAAGGTAGCATGAGATATTGTAGATATATTAAAAGACTACGATGTCAATAGCACACAACCTCAAGATTACAATTTTTTTTTTTTATGAAAATCATAGCGGCACAACACAATTATTACTGAAAACATAAAAATTGATAAAAATTTAAATGAATATACAAATCTTGAAAAAAATAGAAGTCAACAAATTTTTTAAAAGTTAGCATGAGATATATTAAAAGACTACCACTTATCTAATCATTATGCTATTCTTATCTATATTAATAATATTGATAATAGTAGTTATTTTTTCAATGCAATGCTAGAGATATTAGAGTGTCTGACATAAACATGACTACTATTTTTTTGAAGTGGCCCTGCTTTTCTGGATAGCATATGTTCATTAAAGAAACAATTAGTTCAACAAGGAAGCTTGTATTTTGTTAATTTATTTTTGTTGTAATAAGGAAGCATTAATAACACCACGGTTTTTATATAGCTTGCCCGAATCCTAGAAAAGTCGTGGGTTCTGTTAGACAGTTGATAACCAATTTATAACTTTGTTAAACCTTTATGACATGTATCATTGATGTCATAGTGTTACTACTAGGTTGTTGTTCATCAGCAGCACAGTTTATGGCTCAAGTGCAGTGTCAAGTAACCAAAGACTGCTGTTTTGACTGGTTTGTTGTTAAAAACAATTTAATAGGAGATTATAATGTCTTTGAGTTTGATCCATGTAGCCAATCTTACTTATTTATTACGGTGTCAACTTTCAAGTAAGCAAGAGCTGTATTGACTGGTTTGTCATTAGACATGATTCAGTAAGATACTAAAGTTGGCTGGTTTCTGTAGCCAATCTCACCTAGTGGGAAAAGGTGGCTGCGGTGGGTTTGTCGCGTGTATACTGTTCCTTTGACAGGCAGTATCAACTTTATTTATATACATCCATTTGTTGAAGTTTAAAAGAGCTGCTACTTCTTTAAAAATTGATAGAAGATTTGTCTTTTTATTAACAAAAAATGTCCAAAACGGGTCAATAATGAACCATCTAATAAATAACTAATCAAGAAAGCATGTCTCCAAACCCAAAAACAAGCAAACCAATAAAAAATACTAAATACTAATGCTATATTTAATGTCAAATTGTACCTTGACCTTGTTTGTTGACCTTTGATACTTGTTATGATTGGATTACATGTCAAATTGTATGTTAAATTTTTTTGCTTATATTTAATGTGTACATTTCAGATACAGACTCTAGTGGTTCTTCTGATAGTGAATCGGATGATGTTAGCACAACACCAGATGATTTATTAAAGGTCTGGTTTAGTTATTTAGTGAATGATTATTTAGTTGTTTGTTATTTTTGAATGTCTAGTGCTGGAATTAGAAATATCTGAAAATTATCTTACCACATCATTATTTAATCATAGAATATGACAATATGAAGAAAATATAACAGGAACTTCATATTATCTCTCTCTCTCTAAACACAAAAGACCAAACTTATTACATTATCTTGAAGTTATGAGTTTTAGATAAAAGGAGGAAGAAATAATAAAAACTTTGAATATTATTGAAAATAAGTTGATGCTCTCTTAATACAAAGGACTAAACTTTAATCCCTATTTATGATATGCTACATTGACATAATCCTAAATAAATTAGGAAATCATGAATAAGATCATGATTCATAGTAATAATAAGTAATATGAAAACTACTCCTAAGAGATAATCTAAGATACTATAAGATTATAAATTAACTCTAGATATAAACTAAGATGCTCTAATGTAATTTTATATTCTAAGAACTGCAATGTTATGGCATTTACATGTGGTTTCTTTGCTACATCAATTATTCATTTATATTTTACTTCAGGTACCAGAAAACATAGGCACTGATTCTCAGATGGATTTAGAGACCACATATGCTCATACTTCTGTTATAAACCGTGAGTAATTGTTCCTTGTCTTTTCATGCTCCTTGAAGATGAAGATCAAGTATGCTCTCCTGTTTGAGAAATAATGCAATTTATAGAACTGAAATTTGATTTTTTCGACCCAATGCCTCCTGTTTGTTTTGTATGATTTGCTTCTTCTGCATGGCTTCTCGGTTTTTCATTTTGAATTCTTAGTTGGATACTGTTTGGCGAATGCGTTTAGATTAAACATCAGTAATATTGAACTGAAAATAAATTGTATTATTGGAAACTGAAAGAAAAGAAAATGGAGAATAGGATGCTTGCCAAGGATTTCCCTTACATAGGATCTCTCCTCTCACAACAGATATTGAATGTACCGGATCCCCTCTATCCCCATTTTCCCTTTCTGTAGTTTCTTCCAACTACTAACTAACCTAGCTAATTTAACTGCTCTACATTATCCAAACTGAATGCCATAATTAGTCTGCTCAGCTGCTGTAGATTCATGTTGACAACTGTGCTGGAGGGTTTATGAGGACTGAACTTAATGTGAATGTTGTGGGTGGTTTATCAGTATTGAGGACTAGAGACTTTGGGATCAACCGTGTCTTTCTAATTAACAACTGTTTGCCCCTACACTAACTTTGGTGATTTTTTCTGCAACACAACAAGCTACTGGATAATGATCATGTAGGCATTTGTAGTATAATTGCTATAGTTATAATTTGAATAACTTATGGAAAATCCAATAGCACTTGGATGAGATGATAAGGGATCTCTTCCAGCTTAACCAGAGGTCCTGGGTTCGAATCCATCCTTGAGCATGCATAATTGTGAAATCTCTTGAGGGAGAGTTGTGCTAACCACTGTGGTTCTCCCCGGCTTAAGGGATTAGTCTGTGGTTGCGCGCAGAGGATACCCCAGTTTATACCAAAAAAACAGTAACTTATGAAAAAAGTAGCTGATGCATTAAAAGAAACAATATGTCTCTTTCTGTTGATATTATTATTACTAGAGAAGCTATTTAGTGATATTTGTTGAACAACAATATCCCTGGCTGATTTTAATAATCTATCCTTTATCCTTCATATTCTTAAACCTCTTAGACACTACAAGTGTTTCCACTGGCATCTACAATACTATTCCCACTTTCCTTTTGTCAGGTATTTCTCTAAAGGTTTTGAAGCTTTACTGTCATAGATATCTGACATTGAACATTAATGATATGTATCTAAGAACATGGATATTGGGGGAACTTGCCCCTAGAAGCTAGCTATCAAGGGGGGAAGAGCCAAGCCTCTTAAATACTCCACCAAGCATGTCAAAATCGGGATCTCAATAAAGACCGTTAGGGTATAGAAGCGTAAATCGTAGGATCGTAACACGGATTGTAAGATCCCAAGAAATAGACAAAATTATAGAAATAACTACTTTAACATAAAATTCTCATTAATTTAATCATCAATAGCAAATATTTTATCCAAAAAAAACATAATAGAAGGTCATTTAAAACATTGCAAGTCCCAAAACCCTAAAATATGTGTGCATAACAGTCGGTAACAGTCAGGGTTAATTATGGGCTTATTCCAACTGTTTTATGACCTGGTCGAAACGGGTCTAAAGTGGGTAAAAAGAAAAATGGATCGTTGGGATCTCAAAATCCCACGATTTAAAGATCTTTCTCTAGGAGTTCAACGCTCCAGTCAAATCCAAGATCTTTGTGCCACTTAAATCGGTGGCTGGTTGCCGGAGCGTAAGATCGTAAGATTTTGGGAGTTAGAGCTAGATCCCGACAACCATGCCACCAAGCATCCCATACTTCTCAATGTGGGACTCGGGCACCCCATAATACTCAAGTCTCTATGATAGAATGCCCTTGAGAACCGACGTCTTGTCGGATGCGCTCTGCGAAGGTTTTTTTCACCCCCTCCACAGATAGCTGTTTTCAAGTCAACAACAACCAGACTGACATCATCTGAAAAGTATCTAAGAACCTGCGGCACAGCTTTTTAAAAGTTATCGATCAAGGAGGAAGAATCAAACAGCTGAAATACTCTCTCGATCATCCCATACTACTATGTAGGGCTTGTGCACCCAAAATCCTTGAGTCCCTATCCATTATTAATTTAAGATAATTATTAATTTAAGGTAACTAATTCATATTGCCTATGAGTGGCCAAAAAAATGAAAAAATACTAAAAATTAAAGACAAATTCATCATTTAGCAATTTAAAGTCATTGTTTAGACACAAACTCACTATAAAAATAATGTGAAATAGTTTAGATACGGAAGCTCAACCAGCATGCAAGAAACCTCACTTCTTCTAGTCTATATGATCCATGATCTGCGAAATTCAGTTTGAGTGGTTCTGGTGGTAGCGGTATTGGATGAGCTGTCTGAAATTCAAGCTACTGGCTGTTATGTCTCTCTGACTGGAGAAATGGAGCCCTCCATTTAGGGAGGATCTTAACCCCCTTGGACTTTTCGAACTTGACTTAGCAACTTTTCACTAATGTTACATACTTGTGATAAACTAAAGTATTTCTACTTGCTAGCATTGAGGTAGTATCTTATATTGGTCACGGTTTAATATCATAAGACATTGAGGTAGTATCTTATATTCTTTTCCTTCATTTGAAGAGTCAGTTAATGGCTCGGATAAACATGATGATAAATCTCAGCAAAAGCCAAATTCTTGCGACTCTGATTGCTTTCAAGATGGTAAGAGTGCATGAATTATGGTAGCTATTTTTCAACTTTCTATTGTTATATTCAATCTCAAAACCAGTTTCTTATTAATATTTTAGGAGAATGTGGTTCAACTGGGAGACATGTCTCCCCTGATAAACTTTATCGAGCTGCATTATTGAAGAGTCGATTTGCTGATACCATCTTGAACGCTCGAGAAAAGACACTAACCCAGGTAGGCCGTGCCGCATAATTGAGCTGCTTACTATGGGAAATTGTTCTTTTGATTAATTTTCAATTTCTATGTGATTTATTCAATTTAATTTGGTTGTGATTAGGGTGTGAAGGGAGATCCTGAGAAATTACGCCAGGATAAGGAAAAATTAGAGATGGAGCGACGAAAAGGTGAGTCGGGTGTCTCACTTGTGTGAGGACTTTACAGTACTTGCTATTGAATGCTAACTAACCTATCTGTTGATCTGACTCATTATCGAACAGAAAAGGCAAGGCTACAAGCAGAAGCAAAGGCAGCTGAAGAAGCTAGAAAGCAGGCAGAAGAAGCTGCTGCTGCAGACGCAAAACAAAAGAGGGAGCTTGAGAGAGAAGCTGCACGACAAGCACTGCTACAGGTAAATAAGTGTCTAGGTTGCCTGATATATATGCCCATCTACATTCTTGCTTTAGATGTTATGGCATCATACACTGGAATCTATGCAGATGGAAAAAACTGTGGAAATCAATGAGAATTCACAATTTCTGGAAGATTTGGAAATGCTCAGAGCTGTACCTGGTAAGCAATTACCTAGCTGTATAGATGTGACAAGTCCTGATCGCTCTGAAGATGGCATGAGTAGTTTCAAGTTTGGTGGTAGTAATCCCTTGGAACAACTAGGATTGTATATTAAAGTTGATGATGAAGAGGAGGAAGGAGATCCACTGTGTGTGCCAAATACTGTAAATGATGTAGAAGAGGGGGAGATTGATTAAGTTTTGCCCATTCTGTATCTTGAATTCAGGAGCAAACTATAAATGATTTTGATCTCAAATGAGAAGTTAAGATATTTTCTTTTGGCAATTAATCAAATTTTAGAGCGACAATATTTAGTTTTGGGTTTCAATATAATTAAACATTATTTTTGGTTGTGGAAATATACATTAGCCTTTTTGTTTCTCCAATACTAGCATTTTCCAAGAGCATCACCATCCTTCGTCTTAGGTAAAGCTGTGGAAATTGAGTTCATAATCTTAAATACTGAACATTGAAGCTGTATTGTCTCCAAATGTATGGAAATGTGAAATATTATTATTTTTCTTCATGTACAATTTATTGAGCCTTCTTTTTTGAATTCAGTATAATTAAAATCCTATTTAAATAAAACCAAGGAAATTATTGGAAAAAAATATTAGCTTCAGTAATCAATACTTCTAAGAAGCTCGTATACGGACCTCTTTTTTTTATCGACGACATTGTTAGATGGAGATAGTATAATATTGTTAAATCGTGTATTTGAATTGCTCGATAGAAGATAATGCTTATGTTTTATATGCCTGATACACTGATACAAAATAAATTAGAATATTCAAATGCATTTTTAGATTCCATACGGGCAGGGCTTAGGTGCCTTTAAGATCACTCAAGATGACTCAATTGATTTAGAAGGCTCAATTGAATTCAGGATGGCCATCAAGCCTATAGTGTCGATGCATGGAGTAGACTGTTGTACCTGTTAACCGGCAAAAGAAGCAAAAGACACATTATTATATGGATTAATCTGACATTACACAAAAGTAGGCATTGGAAAAGTATCTGTACCGTTGCAATGGGTTTATTATATTTCTTCATAAAGCTAGTCCAGCATGGCTAGAGATTTAAATATCTTTGCATTTAAGGTTGACCGTACACATGATATTTTCCCAAAAATGCTGGACTTTGTCAAATTATATTTCTGATATGAAGGGAAAGAAGACAAATTAACCATATATCCAGTTCCCAATGAAAAATATATTAACAACATTATGTAGGCAAAAATATATTTTGATGATCAAAGCTCTTGATATATATATATATATATATATATGATGCTGCAGTCGATGATAGCATTCCTCAACCTAAAAAACAAAATTTAAAAGCATGAAGGTTTGTGATACAAAATTCTAATATATCAATTGTGATTCTGCAATCAGATGTGTAAATAGTTGCATATTATGTTAGCATGAACTTCTGATTTAACAATGGTGTTAACAATCATTTATCAAGTTTATAATATGAGTTGGTTTTTGTAAAGATCAAGTTAGCAATACCAAAGTTTCATATGATGCATTCCCTATAATATCAGAGAAAGCTATACAGTCCCAAGTTTCATTTGATGCTAGTTAGATATTATATTTGATAAATAATAATGCAGGTAAATGTCACAGTTAAAAACATATGATTAGAACATTATTAATCACAAATTTGATCAATAGTAGAGACAATTGAGTGAAGTTGAAACAACCTAAACAGAACTAAAATAAGTCCCAAAATGTGGATGTGTATTTGAAGTTGAAACATCCAAAACAAAGCTTAAATATGTCAGTAATTTGAATGTGCTTCTGTTAGGGCCGTGTATCCAGATGAATGAAATTGAAACAACCAAAACAAAGCTGAAATAATCCTCATGTTTGCTAAGGATGAGCATTTGTTTTGTCTATATGATATGTTTTATAAAGTTGAAAATATAGGGCAAAGTATAAATGAGCAATAATTTTTATTTACTATATTAAACCTGATGCAAAAGTGGATCAATCTTTATGAACTATACTAAACACATTCATAATTTGTGTAACTCATACAAAGGAAAATAGTCACATAGATAATGCATTGAAAATCAGGAAATCACATAATAGATTTGTTACATAAAACTTAAATGATCAGTTTAGTAGTTTAAATATGGATCAAAGCGCATAGAAAATGCATAATGACACCCTAAAACAGTCACAAGGCATAATCGTTGAAATTAATCCTTGTAAAAAGGGTGTCTAGTAAATTATTCATCAAAATAGATAAGATTTCCGAAATAGGTCCACCATATCACTCCTTCTTTATATGTTTGACCTTATTTTCAGACTTGATTTTAGTGGCAGATTATTTTGGAGTAAGGTCTTCAACTTGAATAAGATCATTAACTGATGTTGATATAGCAACCCTCTTGGCAGGTGTGCTATTGGAGCTTACAGAAGGGCTCCAAATATGGTTTACAGCAGACAAGGATTATTCGGAAGAAAGTGTCATCTACGTATGACGAATAAAAATGATTAGCAACTTTGGATAAGAGGAGGTCAATTTAAAGAAAATCATAATTGCATTAAGGATTAGAGGACATACAAGAGGTTGGTTTGGATGTGATCTGTTGAATCACAAGTGGAGATATCCATAACCGAGGCATTTGAGGTATGCTGGAAAAAAACAATATATAAATATATCATAGATAAGAAACTCCAAGGTAAAAAAGTCATTGAGAAATAAAAATGTTGTACCTCATTTAGGGTTAGACAATTCTTCAAATTGTTGTAAACATTGTCCTCGTTAAGTATTATCACTATTGAATATTGTTGGTAAAAGGATTAATACTTGATACGAAATGCCATGTCCTTATTCAACAAAATGTCTAGGTGAGCTGGCCAAATCTTAGGGTTGTCCTCTCCAGCCTATGCAAGCAACACAATGTTGTTGTTTTTGGTTTTAATATAATGGAGTGATTTAACAATAATGAAAAGTCTAAGAGGATCCGAATTATTCACCTTCATGAGTTGTCTTAATTCTTTAGCAATCATTTTAGTGCATGGTATATAATCCTTATCCCAAAATACAAAGGTCCCTTTGTGGTTATCATATTCAACTTTAACTTCTATTTTGAATCTATAATAAGAAAAGAAAGAAAATGTTAGAGGAGAATTGCACACTGATATATTTGACAGTTATGAACTAAGAAAAACAGAAGGCTCACTTAGTGACCGGTTTGACATCTTTAACTCCACAGTCACACTTAAATTTCTCGCTGAGTGACTTGTTAGAAGATTTGAATCCCAGGCAAGACTTAAAATACCACCCGAACTTGGAAGCTTTGAAATGTTTGGCAGTGCCGACAGTTATTGCGAAACAATCCTTTTTACGTGAAGTTGTATACATTCAAACAATTATAACAATATACATTAAAATATTTAGAATCTTAATTGAAAAAACAGAGATATCTTTCCTCCTTCATAATTTTCACAAATACTCTTGACCTCATGGTGGCTAGTCTAGTTTTTGTCAGTGGATTGAATGAATGCATCACAAGTTATTGAAAGAGAAAGAGCATGTGCATTTGCTAGATCTGTTGTTCCAACACTGCAAAAAATTATATTTGGCATTATAGATGTATTAAATAAAAGAATAAAAAAAACCTATATGATGTGAATGCATAGGGTATTATCTGGCTTTGAATGATTCAACTTGTGGATGCTCTAAGTTAATGTAAAGTATAGAACCGTTCTAAGCGTTAGAAAGACTTGGTAATCCAGAAACTGTATCAATTTAGAAAAATCGCTAGTTAGGTTGCAGAAAAGTTTATCAAATGTAACACTTGAGAAAGTGTAATAACCGATAAAAAATATCGAGTCGGCATCCTTAATTTTTATTCTAAGGAAGAGAATATAAAAGTTAACCCTAAATAAGTTAAAGATTCTAGATTATTGACTCATTTTTAGACGAAGGGAAGGTATTAAGCACCCCTCATCATGGTGAAACACTCACTCACTTCAAAGACTCGCCTTGATGCTTTAGTCTGGAAAACACATAGTAGAGTTAAGCTGATTTGACAAACATATATAATAGAGTTAAACTAATCTGGTTAGAGTTAGAGTGTTTACCTAGTCACAAATTACCTAAACCATGTAAACTAAATTACCTAGACAAATTATCAAGAACATCAAAAAACTTGTAAGAGTATTAAGCAAAGTAGTTGAACCAAGGAAAAATAAAATAGTAAAATTGTAAGAGTTGTATGACAAATTAATTAACTTACTACTCTAGTTTATTATACCCAAGAAGGATGCCAAAGAAACTCCTTGATCACATGACCCTTTGAAGAATGAACCATGACCTTGAACCTCTTCAAGATATTGCAAAGCCTGTGGAATATTCCGTTGATGCTTGAGAATGAAATATTTGATAGTTGCCTTAAATTGAGGATGAGTCCAGATGGGATGTTCAAAGCCTGCACAGAGGTATACCAGATGGAACATATAGAAAGAGAATAATATAATAATGTAGTATATTATTAAATACTATTAATAAATATACAAATTGAAACACATAGTGTAGTGGTTGTGTGCATGGCTTGCAAGTAGATGGTGTTGGGTTTGAAACTTACTTAATATATATTTTTTAACAATGCAAAGATATTATACAATTAAATAAAATATTAAAAAAAGGCAAGGTGACATACAATTACCGTTTTTTGCTTTGGAATCTATATTTGTTAAGGGGTTAAAAGAATTTTTTTAAAAGAGATAAATCAAAACTCGCTACTATTGCATAGATAAAATACATTTATCCCTAAAATAAATTAACTAATCTAATTATTCTTACTAAATAAGTTAATTAGACAAAATAACTAAATAAAATCTTTTTGTAATAATTAAATAAAAACGAAATAACATCACTTTATGTTTTTATGTTAGGAAATTAATTGGGGAGATCTTAAGAAAATATGTATAAGTTAATTACTTTTCTATTTTCCTTAATTAAGATAATAACCTAATAACAATAAAAAGCAAAGTTTCACAGTATTTTACATTTTTGTAATAATTAAATAAAAACGAAATAACATCACTTTATATTTTTATGTTAAGAAATTAATTGGGGGAGATCTTAAGAAAATATGTATAAGTTAATTACTTTTGTATTTTTCTTAATTAACGTAATAATCTAATAACAATAAAAAATAAAGTTTCAGTATTTTATATTTTTTTTTGTATTTTGAAATAAAACTAAGGTCAATGTAAAACTAAGTTAAATAAACAAATAAATTAATTAGACTAAAAAAGGATAATTAATGAAATAGAAAAAACAAAATTGTATAAGTAGAAAGACTTACATGAAGGTGGCGACAACGACGGTGGAAATCTGTGCATAGAGGTTGTGTGTGATAGTGTTAGAAAATCCGCTCCTCAATTATAAATTTTTTTTAGGTGTTCTATTCAGAATCCTAAAAAAAATATTGATAAGATTGTTGATCTCCAAACGTTTGTTGATGGAGACTTCATGATTTCTTTGTTATCATTCTTCGATGTGAAGAACAACAATTTTAGGAGAACTAGTGAGTCATAGATCTGTAAATTATTGGTGAAATTGTTCATGAAAAATTTAGGGGGAAGAGAGCCCTATTTATAGATTTGAAATTAGGTTAAAGACACCCTAAAAAGGAAATAGTCTACACCAAAAAAACCTAAAATTTAAGATTTTATCTTAGTGAATTTATGATTTTTGGATTTATAATTATTGTAACCAATTAGATTGATTCTCTCCTAAAATAAATATTACTACCTAAAATACAAAAGACAACAAAAATATTTTAAAATCTTTTTGTATTTTAGATTTTTTTTGATTATTTTTAGAATAAAAAGTGAAAAAAAGTAAAAAATATTTTTTTTTTTTAAAACTCATTAATTGAAAGTACAAAATTTAATATTTAAATATTATAAAATAATTTTTTTGAATTAAATAATAATAAAAGTGACATTTAAAATTGACAACACCAAAAAAAGTCAAAACATTGGATAGTGGGTTTGAACTTGTGACCTCATACTCGCAAGCTTCATTCCTTACAAATTTTGCTATGTTACTCATTTGAAATAAAAAGCCAATTGAAATGATATGAAAGGTGCACAAATATTTATTATTTAAAAATATAAATAATTTATATTTTTAAATAGACTTGAATACGAATATTTATAAAACTCAAAGAATGTTAGTGTATACGAACCAAAAAAATTTTAAAATCCAATTTTGAAAATGATTTTGAGTGTAACACCAAGGTAGACAAATTTGGGATATGACGGAAAGAAAACTGGATACAATAAATTTTCAAAGCTGTATTTGGCTTACACCAAACATGTGTCAAGATTATAATTGTAGGATCAACAACTTTGTTAGGGAGTATTGTAGTTCATGAATTTTTTGCCATAATCATCCCACAACGCAACCTCAATAACATTTTCTTCAATATCACATAATGTGATATTGGCACACGACTTACCACCACCTCCCATTTATGTCTTCACAACATCTTGTCAAATCTCAATAACATCTGCAAAATAAAAACATAAAGATGAATTCAATACTCGGTGAGAGGACAATAATGATAAGAGGACAACGACGGTAAAACAAACATGTAGTTATTAAAATACCAAAACATCTCCAAAACTACTTAAGGACATGAAATAAGTCACCATATAACATATCGGGTTTGAAATATCCATTGAGAAAGTTTTCGATAGCATGAAAGTTGAATTTGTGAGGCGGTATTTCTGGTATCGCCATATTGGCCACAATAATCCCTCAATTGAAGACAAGTTTTAGTTGGTTGGAACAAACTTTGAAAGGGCCATCATTAACCACATGCTCTCCATTATAAAGAAAATAAGTTTCATGTTCCTTTAGTTGTTCAATCCAATCTTTAAAGTCCCAGCTCCTAGTGGTGACGTGAATTGATCGTCCTGTGAAATATATGAACAAACAATGTTCATAATAACACATATATGTAAGATGTATACAAAAGTCATACAATTCCATCTTGTATGACCAATTCAAGATATTGTTGGTCAGTTTTCTCCTTAACAACCCACAAGTCAACAACCTTAATATGCATTTTCCACACTTGGTTTCCTTTGAACAGGTCCTTGATGAGAATCGAAACCCTTGACATTGTTCTTTTGCTAGTCTGTAAAATGTAATAAAATGAGCATTACAAAATCGAAAAAAGTTTGATTCAACATAAATAACATAAGACTTCATGTAATAACAAAGTTATCATAACACAACTAAGGAAAACACAAAAACTGTCATAAAAGAAAAAGGCATGAAAACCTAATATCATAGTTTCACAAAATGAAGAATAATTTTGATTTTTCTGAAGAACAGTTAAAAGTATGAAGAACAATTAAAAATTTCCGAATAAAATGAAGACTACTAAGGCAAATCCGCAGCACGTTGAAGAAAAAAACTTTAACAACAACCAATGCTTTAAGACATCAATAGTCAAAGAAAAACAAAAACTTTACCAACACCCAATGTTTTACATCAGTAGTTTAAAAAAAATCAAAACTTTAACAACACCTAAATACTTTAATAAAGGATGTCGGCAAGAAAATATAAAGAAATATCAAAACTTTAACAACACCCAAATGCAATCTTGATGCAACCTTTCATAAAATAGTTAAAACAAGCATGTTTCATGAAAAAGTAAAGAAAAGCATAAACTTTGACAAATTAAAAGTTCAACACATCAATATCAATGCTTAAGATGAGATAAAAAATGTTAAACATTACAAGTGAAAGTATTGAGCAGACCCATGTAAGGGTGATTTAGGATTATATAACCAAGCAATGGAAGATAAACGAAGAGACTTGATGAAACTATTCGGTTGTAAACTTACTTGGGAGCAAGATGAAGGTGAAAGTCTTGAGCAGAGCAACTAGAAGAGTTTGAGTTCGACAGCGGAGAGAAAGAGCAACAATAATGTATGTCAAATGAGAAAGAACAACGAGAATGTAAGGTTGTGTTGGAGGGAAAAATTATAATTTAATTCGGACCAATGGAAAATGAACACTTGGGGAATCCAGTCAAAAAAGATAATAAAGTGAAGGCTTATTTTGTTACTTATTAAAATGTCTAAGCTTGAGTTCAATTTTTTTGTTGAGGAAAGAGCACTATAGTCAGCTCGGTCAATTGAATAGTAATTACTTGATAGTAGATGAGGTGTTTTAGTAAAAATGTATGAGGTGCGTATATGGTGAAACTGAAAATCATCTCTAAACTAAATTTTAAGAAAAATATATGGTCGAGTCTCAGTTATGATATGTTTTGTTGTGAAAAATGTACATCTAAAAATACATTCAAATTGAGAGAATATTTTCAGAATTTCTTATGATATTTTTACACCACTTAAGGTGGAATAAACATTTCCTTAAACTACATGGGCCAAATTTATTACATAATTAGAGATCCAAACGAAGAAAAAAAATATATGAATACAGTTATTAGTTATTTAAAAACTAGTGCGATACACACACTTTTATTTTCAAAATATAATAAAAATATAATTAAAAAATAAAATTATTTTACTAAAATATTTTATTCTTTTTAAAATAAATTAAAAATTATTTTATCAAAATTGTTTTGCATTAATAATATATATTTTAAATTTTCATATATTATCTTAAAAATATTACATCTTAAATTAAAAATAATTTCAAAAATATAATAAAAATTAAAAACAGAAAGACAAAATTATTTAATATCAATACTATATGCGCGTACCATATCACTACCCGCGTGTTTTCACGGATATTGTATATTAAGTTGTCGTTATTTATTTACAAATTTGAAGAAATAAAATATTATGATACAATAAATAAAAATCAAATTGTTTATTAATTATTCTTAATCAAAATAGTCATTAATTTTAAAAGAGATAATAAATTGATTTCTATAATATCTTCCGCATATAAAAATATTTGAATAAATAATATAAATATTCTTATATATAAAATATATTGGTTCTCGAATTATTTATAAAAATATTTAAACAAATAGTAAATTTGTTCGGGTTATTATTCAATATTTAAATCAATAGTTTAATATCAGTACAATAAGCGCGTATTATATAAGTACCCGTGTGTTCGCATGATTAATGATGGAGTATGTTAATTTATCGTCAATTTTTAACAAATTTAAATACCCGTACATTAATACGAGTATTGGTGTGTTACACGCACTTGCTTTTAAATCAAACTTTATTATAACAATATAAAATATAAAATTAAAATATTAATTTTATGTATCAATATCAATATTTTATCCCATATTTAAATAAAAAAACTATAATTTATCATATATTTAGACCACTCACACGTTTCTCTTTAAATATTTATACATTATTTTATTTATTAATTTATTAATGACAACTATATTCCATGTTTATTTTATATTTATAATTGGATCAATAGTAAATAATTTTCCATTATTATTCATTTATTTATCAATATCTTCATTTTTCTCCTTTCATATAACTTACATATTAGAAGAAAATAAAATTTATTAAAATTTTAAATAATTATAACTTTTCTAATTAATTATTAAAACTTCAAACAAACATCGAATTTTCAAAATTAGTTTAAAATTTTAAATATTTATATTGAATAAAAATAATTGTTTTAATTTGGTATTTAAAAAAATGATAATATGGTCAAAATTTGTTTTCTATTATTGGTCATCATCAATGATATTAATAACAATAGAAATTTGAAATTGAAAATTAAAAATCACATATTAAGTCAATAAATATTTTTTCCGTATATAAATATATGATTTCATTTTGACATTATTTATAAAAATATAGAGTATATGAAATATTTGTGTAAAATCAATTTATTTGTTAATTCCTTTACAAATATATTTTTAAATATTTAAATGAGTATTATTGTTGAAATATATGAATTATTTAAATGAGTATTATTTTAAGATTTAGTAATAAAACGTTAATTCCTTTAACATTTTTTTAAGATTTAAATATTTATCTACTTAATAATATATCTACTTAATAATATATTTTAGTTTAATATACTTAATAATATAATTAATTCCAGTTTAATAAAATGTTTATGTTTAAATTATCTAAGTGTATTTAAGAATTAAAACGTTATTTTACATAGTATATTATCATTAAATTGAAACTAAAAAATTAAAAAATTATTAAACAAACATTATTTTAATATTTAATATTTAAAAACTGAAAATAATAAAATAATAATAAACTTAAAATATAAACAAAATTGAAAGTATTAAACATTAATTATTTTAATATTTAATAATATTTTAATAATTTTTTTAAAGCATTTTCAGTTTTATTTAATAATAATTATTTATTAAATATTAAAATAATGAATGTTTAATACTATCAATTTATTTATATTTTCAGTTTTTAAATAATAAATACTAAAATAATGTTTGTTTAATAATTGTTTAATTTTTTAATTTCAATTTAATTATAATGTACTATGTAAAATAACATTTTAATTTTTGTAATATATACTATCTAATATTAATATATTCATTTTGGAATAAATAGTACACATGTAAAATAAAACTCATGTAATAAATAATAAATAGTACTCATGTAATATCAATTTTGAAAATAAATATTAACTATGTAATATATATTGTTGAGGAGAAAACAAAACATAAGAAATAAATTGGCCAAGTGTTAGGCACCTCCAAATCACAAATATATATATATATATATATATATATATATATATATATATATATATATATATATATATATATATATATATATATATATATATATATATATATATATATATATATATATATATATATATATATATATATATATATATATATATATATATATATATATATATATATATATATATATATATATATATATATATATATATATATATATATATATATATATGATAAATTATATTTTAAAATAGATATACCAAAAATATCATAGATATTGTAATAAACAGTTATAAAAATGATAAGTTTAATGTGTATCATACATTTATTTTAGATAATTTGATTTGTTTTGAAATTGTTGTTTTTTCATTTTTTATAAAACTTAAAGTTAGAAGTTTAAAAGGGAAAAAAAAAAAACTTTTTATAAGTTCGAAAAGAATATCGCAAAAAATATTAATATATTAACTATGTATCTATTTTTTATTTTGTTAAAAGGAATAGTAACCTAAATATTTGTATTATGTACTTCTTTATACTATTAATGACAAATATTTGTTATATTTTCTAGTAATTTTTTGTACTATTATATCAAATATATATGATATACTTGTTAATAGTAACAATATTTTAAATTAAGTCTTAAATATATTTGATTGACTTAATAACTTCATTAATATTTAAAATGCACATAAGGACGAGTCATTGAAAATAAATTATTCCATTATTTGAATGAAAAAGTAAAATAAAAATAGTAGATTATGAACGACATGTGGAGGACACAAATATTCATTGACAAAATTCTGATATATATTATGCATTTATTTTTTAACCATTCCACAATCCTTTTATTCTTATACATAAAAATATTGCAACATTTAATAAGGCTTCAAAAATTGTGTCTGAAACTGCCAATTAAAAGAAAGAAAGAAAAAACAAAGAATCAAATAATTATAATAGAGAAACAATCCTACATAAAAGGAAAGATTTAAAAAAATCATAATAAACACAATGAGTATAAAACAAATCACAAATATTTTAAAATCAAATATAAAACCACTTGATTACAAATTATACAATATCATAAAGAAATTCTAATTAAGAAATAAAATAATTAAATAAATATATTTATACAAAAAGGATAAGAGTAGCATAGCGAAGAGAGAGTTTGTTATTGATTCAAAACAAAAACTCTAAAGGAGATTGTTACAATGAGTTAGATATAAAGGGGCTACAATGACAGCTGTCACTGCCAGCTCATCAAACCTAACTAATTTTAGATAACCTAATATATTTGATAGCTATTACAAACTATCAGCTATATATTTATTTTATTATTTCCCCTTCAAATGGTGTTACATGTCTTGGGATGCCCATTTGCAATAGAAGACTTGTCCACAACCCTTAAGTGATCTCTGAGAGCAAGAAACCTAAGAGCA